GGGAAAGAAAGAGAGAGAGAGAGAGAGAGAGAGAGAGAGAGAGAGAGAATGTGAATCTAGGCATAGCTATCCCACAGATGTGAGAAGTCAGTCATAGGACTATTAAATGTAATGCCTTTAATCCCAGCACTGGGGAGGCAGAGGCAGGTGGATCTCTGTGAGTTCGAGGTCAGCCTGGTCTACAGAGTGAGTTCCAGGATAGGCTCCAAAGCTACACAGAGAAACTCTGTCTCGAAAAACCAAAACCAAAAACAAACAAACAAACAAAAAGAATTGTGTTGATCAAATGGGCCCGTGGCCATGTCTGAAGGAGATTATCTTGATTGATGTGGGAGGGCCCAGGGCATAGTGGACAGCACCGTCCCTATGCAGGTGAGCCTGGGCTCCATAAGAAAGCTAACTGATCATGAGTCATTGGGCAGGGAAGAAAGTAATCAGGTTCTTCCATGACTTCTGCTTATTTTACTGTCATGGGTTTTTCAATGCTGGATTGTGACTTAAAGTTTAAGCCAAATTAACATTTTCTTCTCCTATGGTACTTTTAGACATGGCATTTTTTTTACAGCAGCAAAAAAACAAAACAATTAAAACACATGATAACATGAGAAAAGTCCTCCATAGGGCATAACCTCTAAAGAATTATGGGATTATTTTCTACATGGTGTCCTAAAGTCCTGCACTAGTGTTATCCTTCCCAAAGCACTGGGAATGTATACAAGGCAGGCAGCTGTGCACAAGACTTCCCACCCTGTTCTGTCCCAGGAAAACTACTTTATCCCAGTCCACTGTCTTTTGGGGGTAAAAAGGCACCTGAAATCTGTGCTTCCAGAACTTTCAGAGCCAATTTAGTGAGAGTCCAGACTGTGGTGTGAAGGGTCATGTGTGACATGCTGTGTGTGTAGGTAGTCTCCTTTTACAGATGTGTCTGTCCTGCTTTAGAGTTTTCCTATTATCACTTTTTTGATTTTTTATTTTCTTAGTACTGAACCCTAAGCCATGCCTGACATAAGATAAACCCAGGCTTTAGCAACAGGCTACTTCCCCCAAGCAAAACTCCTCATTGTGTAAGTGTTCTGTCCTCTTAAAAATGATTATGTGAGAGGATTGGATTGTTACCTCTGTGGGAGTGGCTCAAAATCACAGTTACAGAAGATGCAAATTTTAAATTAATTTTTTTTCTGTCACTGTCCATTTTTTGAGGCAAAACTTGGGGTTTTTTGAAAAGCTCTCCCAGGCTTGTGCTTAGAGAGCACTGAAGGGGATAATGGGATTGGGGTTGGATTGTTGTTTGTTTTGCTCTAGGATCTTCTCCATGTAGAAGAAATTACAGTACTTAATGAGTAGTTAGCCATTTTACTCGATGGAATTCTTTGAGGAAAATGAGTATTTTCACTAGTGTTAGATTTTGCAGTGCAGAATCGGGAGACAAAAGGCTGGAAAAAAAAATCCAGAGTCTGACCTCAACAGACAATGCAGGTCATTAGCACATACATCAAGTGGCAGCCACACAGGTCATTAGCAATACAGCTAGTGGCAGCTACTTTCCTGCTGTGCAGGGAAGCTGTGCAGGGGGGAAAAGGTTGTTTGGCATCCTTTACAGGGCTCTGAGGGTCTTGGCAACAATGAGTTTAAGCAGTTTTCTGTGCTGTCCTGGTACACAGTTTCTCCTTTCTGAAATTGCCAAGGGAGACAGTCTATCTTGAGAACAGACTTTCTCAGCAGACATCGCTGACCCATAATGGTTGAGAACTTTTTGCCTTCCACCATCCCTCCATGTGGTGTCTAAATGGTCAACAAGCCCGGCTGTGATAATCTTTTCCAAGGGAGTATTTCAAGACTCCCCAATATGGAGGCTGTTTAGCTAAGAGGACAGTCTGTGACATCATGACTAAGATTAGTCAAAACTGTCCCTTCCTTATGAAGAACATCTCTGATGGTCACGTTTACAGAAACACAATTGACAGACTCATGAAGAAAATATGTGTGAATTTTACTCTTTATTTTGTTAAAAGTTTAATGTGATTATGGGACTGCTGGCTCTGCAGTTAAGAGCACAGACTTCATTTCCAGAGATCATGTTTGATTCCCAGCATTGGCAATAGTGGCTCCCAACAGTCTGTGAATCCAGGGGATACATTATCATCTTCTGGCCCCTCAGTGAACCAAGCACACAATAGGCTATTGATTTACATGCAAGAAAAACACCCTTACACATGAAATAAATGAAATAAATCTTAATGTGCACCGTCAGTGACATTGTTACTCTCAGCAATACCATGGTTGAAAGATTTTTTTTCCTGGCCCTGAAAGCAATAGCAGGCATGATGAGGTCCCCAGTTTAAAGCATTTAGTGTCTCTGCATCATCACTTGAGAAGGACCATTGGGAGGTTCTTTGCTAGCAGTCTGTGTGACCTGAAGGATCAGAGTATTTACAGTAGTGCATGGAAGCTTGCTTCATGACCTTGGGTAAGAAAATACTTTCTGATGTTCAAGGGTTGCTTTTCATAACTCTGAATCCTTAGTGGAGTACTCATGGCATGCCTGTCTATTTTCTCCATCCAATAAGTAATTAAATTCCCACGTTGTTGTGTTTGAATTATATCGGTAGAAAATGAATACAATGAAACCTAGGTTGTGAGACAGTCGTGGGCTTTTGTCTCATCACTAAACTTTGAGAGTTCCTATCAACCCTATTTGGGGTTTCTGTGTTTGAATCTTCCTGGGCCGTCTTCCTACCCTGAAGTCCTGTCTTTTTCCCTTTGCGTCAAGAGATTGGGATGTACAGAGGAAATTTAAAGCACCAACTTCATGGAAACAGCAGTTGGGAAACACTGGGTATGCAAAGAAGTGAGTGAGGCCCAAAATCTCGGGCCATGTTCTTACCATGCAATGAAATCCTAAAATGCAAAAAGTTTATTCCACAGCACAAGGCCTATATGATAATGTGTTTTTCCTTATTTATTTAATTTATTTACTTACTTGTTTGTTTGTATATACGTTCCTTTGTTTTGCTTTTCTAGACAGGATTTCTTTGGATAGCATGTCTTGAAGTGACCAAGTGAGTCTCCAACATAGCAGCGTCCCAGGGCTTAGCAATGACTGAACCAGTCTGGCGAGGTGGCGAACGCCTGTAATCCCAGCATTTGGGAGGCAGCGGCAGGCGGATCCACAAAGCGAACTGTTGTCACGGAAAAGAAAGAAATGCCTGCCACCACGTCTGGCATATTTGTTTGCGTTGAGTCGCGGTCTCATCACGTAGCCTTTCAAGCCTCTGAGTTCACGGAAGTCTGCTTTCGTTAAAGGTGCAGGCAGTAGGGCAAAAGCCTGGCCTTCCTGAAGTTTCGATTCTTTAGGCTGAGGGTGAGGCTGGAGTACAGTTCGCCAATCAGCGACGATATTACTAACAGGAACTGTCCAATCAGGATCACCGGTAGTCATAGTGGGCGTCCCGGAAGCCTTTTTTACGCTTTGCTTAGTATAGGGGGTCGTTGAGGAGACCTGTTTGGGGCGACTGTGGATTTGCACAGTCCTGTAGTCCTCTCTGGACGACACCTAGACGTAGGAAGGTGAGTGTGCCTCGGGCTGCTGGGACACTAGCTGCTTTGCGGCGCCCGCAGCTGGAGTTTCAGTGGAAGGTGGAGTCTGGCCCAGACACACCGTCCCTCCCCACCTGTGCACCCCGCAGGCTGTCCGGAGCCCCGAGTCCGTCACTTTCCTGTCCCCATGCAGCTGCTTCCTCGCCATTCCCAGCGCTCTTGGTTGAATCCTTGCCACGAACTCTGTTTGGGCTCATTTGGTGGTGGGTTTTTTGTTTTTCCGTTACCACTTTGGAGTTCTTTCCTCTCTTCTTTGCTCTCTTCTCCCATCTGATTCCCCCTTAGATTGTTTTCCATTCCCCACCCCCGTTATTAGAGACGTTTCCCTCAAAACTGTGTGTCTACCCCTTAACACCTCATCCGCTATGGTGTTTGCCTTTTTCTTCCATTTTTTTAAAAAATAACGTGTGGTAGTTTTTAATTGTTCTGGTGACTGCAGTTGGCCAGAATTTCCAGTCGGAAGAAAGAGAGAAATTTCAGTCTGTTTTACTTTTTTTGGTTTGCCGTGATCTTTTTACTAGAGTCCAAAACTGGAATTTTGAAAAGTTTCCCCAACTTTGCAGAAAAGGCCAGTGAGGCTGGCAAAGGGCGTCATGGAACTGGCATTGTATCCGTGTTGCTGGGGTAGTTTTGCTGTAAGCTGCTTCAAAGAGAAGGGATTTCGAGTGTCAGTTTTGTAGCAGGTAATTTCCACATTTGCAGGCCTTGGGAAAAACAGTAATACTCCATCTCTTTCTTTTTGCCTCCACGTTAGTTGGTTTATGGAGGCAGTGCAGTTTTTGACCATTGGGGAGGCTTCAGAGTGTTCATCTGAGACAAAGGCTAGTGTGCTCTCTACCTGGTGGAAACATGTTTTTTATTTGAACATTGACTTGAGTGTGGAGTACATTTATATTATATTTTTTATGCTTCAGTGTTTAGTTATTTTGGTATTCATTTAACTGTTAATTTGTAATTTGTTTACTTCTCTTCCTTCCTTTCTTTCTTTCTTTCTTTTTTTTTTTTTTAAGGCAGGGTTTCTCCATCACTGCCCGGCTATTATGTATTCATTTGTTTTTGGCAACAGGGTTTCTCTCTGTAGCCCTACTGTTGACCAGGCTAACCTTGAACTCAGAGATCACCCTCCTCTGTTTCAGGCCTTCTGGGACTAAAGTCTTGCACCACCACACCTGACTTTGAGGGCTTTGGTTACCTGATTCAGTATAATTACATTTTTCACTTACACCCATTTGCTGGAAATTTCATTTCAGATTTCTTCCTTGCTGAGTGGAGATCACTGAGTTTATGGGTTGTATTTCCATCATGTGGACATCACCTGATGGAGATCCAGGCTGATTCTTTTTCTAGCTACTGGGCCTAAAGCAGCTGTGACTTGTATGCACATATATCTGTTGTAGTGTTTGGAGTGCTTTCATGATCTTCAGAGGAATTTATACATTAGTGAAATAATATTTTTATTTCCTACTTTGTGGCAAGCAAACACTGATTTGCTTATTAATTCCAGCAGTCTAAACTCTCACCATGGTAAGTATTCTCTTTTGCACACCTGTTAATAGGTTTGAGGTCTTCAGGCTTGCAGTGTAAGCTTTTCACCTGCTAACCCATACCCTAGCCATGTGGACATCTATTTTACTGTTTTGTTTTTTAAAAAGCCTAACAGAACTTTTATATATATTTCTGTTACTGGGAATGTCTTGCACCCAGCATACTCAATTCTTAATTTCATGGTTTTTGTTTTTGTTGTTTTATCTGCCCTTCTTTGTTTCTTTCTTTCTCTTTCCCTTTTTTCTTTCTTATAACCCATGGAGTTAACTTATTGCTGTCCAGTTATGTGTGGCTATCCACAGGGCATGGGCATCCTCCTAGTGGTCACATTCCTGAGGAAAAATAGCTCTCCATTCCTCCCAAAGCCATCATCACTTGCCAATATGTTTTTAGCTAGGGGTGGCCTTCATAAAGACCAATCCCAATCTGTCTAGTGTTTTGACTGACATGATCTAAAGTATTGGATTTTGAATTTGATACCTGCATTGTAGAATATTTTGTGAAGTTGAGCTCCTCAATAAGAGTATTCTTTTTCCTTTTGTCTTTGTCCATTGACCTTTTACAAAACTACAATGTTCATATGTATCATAGACAGTTATTGTTTGTATAAACGATGTAGTATTAAGTCAACAAGAAATCATTTGTTTCCAACTGAATAAAATTGTCCATGCTCCTAAGTATTAAACAAATAGTAAGTAATATTTCTAAGGTAAATTTTAACCTGTAATATTAAGAAGTAAGACTGATGGCCCATCTACCTATGTCCTCCTCTTTAGTTGTCCCAACCTGCAGGACGTCAACCTGGGGCAAGAGAGTCAGGGATAAAGAACGACCACAAGACAGGATTCTGATCAAGTGGCAAACTTTACTTTTCTCAGGCTCCCTTATATAGTCAGGATATGGGAAGGAGCTGAATGGGTTGTTTGTGCACCAGGTGTTAGTATAGGCAGGATATTAGGAAGCCACAAAGAGGATGTTTGGCAGGGTAAAGAGTTCATGAGTAAGAGGTCCAGGAAGGGTTGCCTAGGTGACTGAGCCTGTGGGTGGAGGACTGGGTCAAGTTGTTTCTTTTCTTGAGCTGAGGTTCTAAAGAGCTGCTATGTAAAGGTTAACTATGTGGCCTGCCAAGCATGGCCTAGGATCTCATGCCAAGCCCTGATATTTGGTTCCCAACATTTAGTGACAGGTTTTTCCAAGTTCTGATCTTGTCCAATTTAAATGAACAGAAAAAGTAATTTAAATACAAGACTGGTGATCCCTGTTCTGTGTACTTAAAGCCTCATGAATTGTGAAATTAGGCTCTATCTACGTCCTTAAATTTCAGTCATCTTTAAAATGACAAGGTTCAGATTCAGGATTGCTAATGCTAGTAAAATGTGATCTTAGAGCTGATCAATGGCCTAATCTAGAATTGAAAAATGATATAACATATTTGTCTTTAAAATGATCTTTGTGATACCTGTGTAAATATGTATTGTTTTCTTGCGCTGGTGTTTTTATATTGTTTCCCTTATTAAATTGGGCTTATAATCAAGTGTTCTTTTAATTAAAATTTCCAGGTTGCCCTAAATTTCTTTTTGTTCATTGTGTAACTAAAGCTTCCTTTTTATTCAAGTTAGATAAACCATTAGTATGTTATTAAGTTAATCATATCAGCTGTAACTCTATAAAAAGTCTAAAATGTCCTTGTTTCTTTTAGGACACAACAGCTTCTATACAAGGGTACAAGGCCCTCATCTCAGAGATGATCCTTTAGTCTGGCTGATTCCTGAAATGTAAAGATTGATACTTTGAAACATGGAGTGGGAGAAAGTCATGGACTTTCACCTCCTCCCTAATGTATGAGGTTTCTTATTTGTGGTTCCTGCGTTTGAATTTACTTGGAGCTTACTCCTCCCCTGAAGTGCTGTTTTACTTGTTTTGTTTTGCTTAGCAAAAGGGTAGTCTCCTGAGCACCTGTTTTGAGTGACTGTGTGTTCTGTTGACTGCAGGTATCTTCAGGAGGACATCTAGACACATGAGATGCACAAAATGGTGAGTGTGCCTGGGGACCCTGGAATCCTGGGTGGCGGGTGACTGAGAAATACTACTTCCGTGTATGGTGGAGCAGAAGGCTTACTGTAGGTGACAGAGAGAGTACAGCCAAGGGCATATGCGTGGTCCAGACTGAACTGGGCCATGTTAGGAGAGAGAGAGGGTGGGGGATAACAAGAGAGAGAGGAGAGCAGGGGATCAAGTGGCCAAAAGGCAAGATTTGTCTACTGGAGTAGACAGATTTGCTATGCTGTATAAAATCAGAGAAGCTGGAGTAAGGGAAGTCCAGCTGCTGAGTTGGAGAGTCTAGGATAGGGGGCAGGATATACCAGTCAGGAGGATTCTGTAACGGGTAGACTGGCAGCCAACATTTTCTTTATGTTAATAGACACCTCAGCCCTTTGTCCAGGGTTTGAGACCTAACACGGGGCTTGGGACACTAGCTGCTTTGGAGGTATGTGGTACCCGCACTTGAAGTTTCCCTTGGAGCTATGCAGTCCGGTGGAGGTGTGGTCAGACACAGCAATGCCTATGCGCATTTGCACTTGAAGTATGCCCCGCTGCAGCCCTGAGCCATGTGTTCTCCAATCTTACGCCCTGGTGAAGCTGCTTCTTTGCTATCCCCCACACTCTCGCTTGGGTCTTAGCCATGACCTTGCTGTGCTTGTGGGTTGGTGATGCTGAGTCCAGACTGTGCTTGGTAGTTGGCTTCAGTGGGCCCTACCTTTATAATGCATTTCTTACACTTATCTGTGTAGCTACTTGAATATTCGTTTTATTTTATATTTAATATATATTACCATTTCTCTATTTTGTTTTGCTTTTGGCAACACAGTTTCCATGTTTAACCCAGGAACTCCTGGTGTTCACCAGGCTAGCCTTGACCTCACAGATCCTCCTCATTTGCCTCATGTGTTCTGAGATAAAAGGCTTAACACCTCCATTCTGGATTATCTTTTTTCCCCTTTCTTCCTTCCTTCTTCCCTCCCTCCTACTCTCCCTCCCTCCCTCCCTCCTTCCCTCCTTCCCTCCTTCCTCCCTCCCTCCTTTCACTTAAGACAGGCTTACTTGTATAGCAGCAGGCTAGGCTGGAAATTACTTTATAAATAAACCTTGATACTCAAAACTTCTCCCATTGCCAAGCTTTTGTTTTCCTCTTCAGTCCTAAACTATGCTTACATATCACATGCATTCAACTAGCCCTGTGTCACTCCCATCTACTCACAGATCTCATGGACGCTTTCTTCTCCATGATTTCTATGTATACTCAGTCCAGTTTTGAAACCGATGGGTGAGAGATCAGAGATTGAAACCCTAAAAAGGAGAAACAGGCATCATTTGACTCTGTGTGTTTGGGTTACGTGGCTCAGCATAGTTACATTTCCAGTTACATCCATTTCCCTGAAAATTTCATTTTGGTTTTCTTCTTTGTTGAGTGGGATTCTAATGTATACATGTATCTTTAGCCAGTCTTCCTTTGATTCACAAGCTCCTGAATTATGACATGGAGACTTCTTATTAATTATGAAAGCTTTATCTTAGCTTAGGCTTGTTCCCAACTAGCTCTTAAAACTTAAAGTAACCTGTTTATATTAATCTATGTTCTTCAGCATGGCTTGTTACCTTTCTTCAGTACTTATACCGTTACATCTGACTGGTGAATCCCCTGAACCTCAGATTCTTCACAGAGGGTTTTTTTTGTTTTGTTTTGTTTTGTTTTTTTAATCATTTTTTTTGGTTTTTCAAGACAGGGTTTTTCTGTGGCTTTGGAGGCTGTCCTGGAACTCGCTCTTATAGACCAGGTTGGTCTCAAACTCACAGAAATCTGCCTGCCTTTGCCTCCTGAATGCTGGCATTAAAGGCATGGGCCACCAACGCCCATTATCTCTGCCAGGAAGTTCTACCTGTCTTCTTCTGCCTAGCAATTTGCCATTCAGCTCTTTATTAAACCAGTGTGAAGTGCCTTAGGCAGGTAAGGAAGAACAGAGACACAGCATCACAGTATGATCAGTTATGCCCCAGCACTTCTCCATTTTTGTCTAAAAAAACAAGAATAAAGAAAGGAAAAGTTTTTAACTCTTAACAGAGTTAAACTATATAAAATAAGAACAATTATCAGGTGAGATTGACATTCACAATGTCCAGTTTATTTTTATCTGGCAACTTTGGATAAAGTACTCTATTTTCTATCTGATCTTTGTTAGAATTTCTCTGTCTACAATTTTTCCTTGTATGTCCTATTTTACCACAGCTGAAACATCTATTCTCCTGACGCCTCCATGGACTTCTGGAGCGTGCTCTTCCTATGCGAGGCTCTAGGTCAAGGTGGCGATGAGCACTGGCCTCACGGTACCTGTGTGAGCCCCTGTAAGGTGCTCTTCCTTCCCAAGTCCTTCTGTTGCTATCTTTTCTAATCTCCTGTTGTTTGTTGAAACCTCTTGGGACAGCTTCTTCTGCCCAGATTCCAGCATCTTGTATGTTATAGTCAACATGGACAGTATGCAAAACCCATTCTTCTAGTGGAGCTGAGCTGATCTTTAGAGGCAAAAGTATTCTTTTGCACATTGGGTTTGCACTGTTATAAGCTAAACTATACACAATTGAATGTCTTATTGTTGGATCTGTTACCTGTTTGTCTACTGCTCTGGTCAATCTGTCTAAGAAGTCTTTAAATGGTTCTGTTTGTCCCTGTTCTATTTTTGTAAAAGCTTCTAGCTGTTTTCCTGATTCACCTAAATTATTTTCTATCATAACCTGTATTACAAACCTAAAAATAACTTTTTAGACCAAAAAAAACATTTTGATAGATAAACAACTTAAGCTTTTATGTCTCTCAACCTTTATAAACTTTACATCTCTTTTGTTAGTATCTTTTCTGATTGGGAATGCAGAAAACTGTAAAACTATAACTATCTACTCTTCAACCCCATCAGTGACCTGGAATGTATAAAATATTTTCTGAGTAAACAGGAAGTGCAGAGCAAGCAACTTCCACAACTATAGAAGTGATAGAAACAGGTCGATGCCTGCCTGGACAGTCACCCAAGGTTCCTCTGCCATGATGGGACATCTGTCTTCAGTCTATAGGCCTAAACTGTATGACAGACTATTCTGTGAAGCAGGAATTTTGAGGGACTAGACTACCTTGTCTTGCCAAAGTTCAGCAGTGGACTTTGTTTCCTGTTTGTCCTGTTTAGATAGCATGCTGTCAGTAATCGAGACAAGGAGAGTTTCTTTTCTGGTGGCTGGCTATATTTGCCACATTGAAAGCAAACTCCATATGGAGGTTCTTCAGTGCCCATCATCTTCTCTGAGTTATGTTGGTGCTTCCAGGAGCAGACATGTCTCACTATCATGAAAAGCCTTATGTTATTTGAAAATCTTAAATGTCATATTCTTTAGGTCTCTGAATTGTTTAAAGACCACTTATCTGTCTAAAATGCATTTCTGTCTAACCTTGAAAACGTACATAACATGTCAAGTTTGATTTTTTTTTTTTTTTTTTTTTTTTTTTTTTTTTTTTTTTAGGGTTTCTCTGTGGCTTTGGAGGCTATCCTGGAACTAGCTCTTGTAGACCAGGCTGGTCTCGAACTCACAGAGATCCGCCTGCCTCTGCCTCCCGAGTGCTGGGATTAAAGGCATGCGCCACCAATGCCTGGCTGACAAGTTTGATTGTTATAGGTAAATAGCTACTACCCTATATTTCTTAGTTATCCTAAACAGTTTGTAATAATAGCTTCCAAGGACTAGAATTTTACGTTACATTTTAAAGTGAGTTACGTAGGTACAATACCTTTAACAAGAGTAGAAATATATATATAGTGTTATAATAAAATAACCTTGAATTTGAATCAATATACAAAACTCTGCTCCAGAGCTACACAGAGAAACCCTGTCTTGAAAAACAAAACAAAAAACAAACCAAAAAAGTCTGTACTAGTGTAAAATATTTGAGACTAGAAGTTGCTTTTTATCTTAAAGGTAGATTCAATAATCTACCCTTTTATCCTATGTCCTCCATTCCTATTGATTTCACTAGATAGGAGAGAAAGAAGAATAGAAGAAAGAAAAAAAAATCTCTTAATATTACCTCCTTTGTTTAGTTTCATCCCTGATTATGGCCAATAACAACTTTCAACTAACATTCCTAAACAAAGTCAAACATCCTTAGCCTCCAAATGACCAAAACCACCAATTACACCTCTTGAGAATGTGGGTGTAATGTCCTTAAAATTACATACTATTATCTGGAGGCTATGGCATCTTTAGGGGACACTGAGAAAAATGGGATAATGGTTACATCCTTGGCGAGCTAGCTGTATTTCTCTCTCTCTCTCTCTCTCTCTCTCTCTCTCTCTGTGTGTGTGTGTGTGTGTGTGTGTGTGTGTGTGTGTGTGTTGAGAAAGTACTGTGCTTAACTGAAGTCCTGACTGGAGTAGTCTGTGAGGCTAGACATTCTCAGCTAACTGCTTTGAAGTTGTTCTGGGTGCAGATTTTTGAGAGAACTGCAATGGAGTCATTTTTGTGAGGCTGGATCACCTGGGATGCTTGTCTTCATTGATGTCTGGTCCTTTTATTCTAAAAACGTAAACTTTTAAATGTAATGTAAAGATATGCATTAACACAATTATAGAATGTGTGGTGTGCACAAATCAGCTAAAGATGGTTTTCTATGTTTGAGAAGGTAAAAGAGATCTGTCAATTTTATTATTATTATTATTATTTTATATTTTTTTAGTTTTACGAGAAAGATTTCGCTATGTAGGCTGTCCTGGAACTCACTCTGTTGACTATGCTGGCCTTGGATTCACCAACATCCACCCACCTCTGCCTCCTGAGTACTGGAATTAAAGGCAACAGCCACCATTACCCAGCTACTTTATTTTTTTAATTTTATTTAATTAACATTTTTTTCATTCATTTTACCTACTGATCACAGTTTTCCCTCCCTCCTTCCCTCCATTCCCTCCCCCCACCTCCCATCTACCCCCTCCTATCCACTCCTCCATCTCCATTCAGAAAGAGGCTGCCCTCCCATGAGCTTGAACAAAGCATGGCACATCAAGTTGAGGCAGGACTCAGCTCCTCCCCTTGCATCAAGGTTGGGCATGGTAATCCAGCATGGGGAACAGGTTCCCAAAAGCCAGCTAAGCAGGTCCTGATCTCACTGCTAGGGGCCTAGGTAGTAGCACATACCCTGAATCACAGCACTTGGGAGGCAGAGGCAGGCGGATCTCTGTGAGCTCGAGACCAGCCTCATCTACAAGAGCTAGTTCCAGGACAGTCTCCAAAGCCACAGAGAAACCTGTCTCGAACCACCCTCTCACCCCCCAAAAATTAAAGTTGGTAAAGCATTATATAGGTTCCAAACACCCTGTGTTTGATATTTCCCATCGTTATGTGGCTCATTCTTTTTATGTTACTTTGCTATCTCTTTAAGGCTTCCTTTTATTTTCAAACTATTTATTTATTGGAGCTCTATACCCATTTTCTTTTCTTTCTTCAGCGCATAAGTACATTTTCAAGCATATGTACCTGTTCAGAGGTTTTCTCAGTCTGGACATGGCTTTTTGTGCATCTGCTGTGTAAGCCAAACCTTAAAGGGCCCAGGCCGCCTGCCATGACTGACCCACCAGGAACTCGTGGTTGCATGCAGCAACCATGTACAAGCTTGCAAGATAGACTGCAGTGTTCACGCACTATGGCTCCAGGAATATACTCCTTTTGCTCTTGTATGAGAGCTGAGCCTCTCACCAGCTGCACCTACTGGTCCCAACTCTGGGAAGTTGCCGAGCCCATGCTATGGCAGGTATTCCTACCTAGTGTCCTGCTGACCAGCGCATCCGACAGTTCATAGTCCCCAGTCAAGTGCTCGACTGCACAGCAGGGCCTCAAATGAGCTGTTCCTCTGTGTGTCATGAGCACGGGGACTGCCTGAGTAAATAGGGTTGCTAGGAAACTGCATTTGACTCTGTTTCCAGAACTCTGTTCAGCTTTCTCAGGCCCTCGGTTTGGATATACATGTCTCCACATTGGGCCCAATTCTTTGAAGAGTAAATTGTAAAAACATTAAAAGAAAAATTCTTGTTGAACGTTCCTTTGAGAACAGTTTGCCTTATTGCACATGTACCTCAAAGGGCTTCATTTCCACTCAGCCACTTTCCCATATGTCCCATATGTTTTCCAAAAGGTATTTGAATACAATAAGGAGTTACTAAGGCAGAACTAAAAGAACTAATTTACTGCTATTTTTAAAGCATAGATATATATAACACACTAAAGGTAATCTTTCTAAGAATAATACCCACAGGTTCCTAAGTTCATTGTTCAGAGGCGTCTGTCTGCAGAGACCATACCAAGTAGTTTTCCAGGTTGCTGAGTTTTCCCTGTGTTGCCTGCTTCACCCGTGTCCCAATGCTTAGTATTAATCTTGTTATCACTTCCAGCAGCCCTCCTTGTTTAAAATTTCAAATTGCTTACAATTTTTTCTTCTACCAAGTACTCAACAATCTTTACTTTCAAGTTCATTCCAAGTGCAGAAGAATGAAGTTATATTTTTGAATCTAACAGTACAGGAATAGCCCTTACTCTAGTTCCTGACTAAATCCTTGCTCCCTCGTGAACCTTCCTGATACATGTCTTCTCTGTAGGCATTTATCCTTTGCGGTTTTGTCTTTTAAATGTCTACATAAATGATTCATTCAGCTTTGCATTCAGTGTGTTCTAGATTTTTATATTTTCTAAAGAGAATTTTTTGCCAATTTTTCCACGTTCTTTCCAAAACATGTTCAAAATTCCAGCAGAGGATCTGGTTAGTTTTACTTACAACAAAGGTTCAACTTTTTAAAAAATCTAATTCTTGTATTAAGCTTCTCATCTGGCTGTCATAAATTACTCTGAGTGATGTGACTTAAAGCAGAAAGAATTTATTTCATCTCACAATTGAAGGGTACTGTCCATTAAATGCACAACTGTGAAAGGCTGGTCAGATCACACACAGTCAGAAACAGAGTGATGTGTTGTTGTCTGTATCTCAGCTCCCTCCTTCCACTAATGTAGTCCCTATACACTTCACAAAGTGCTCATCTCAAGTGTGTGTGGATGTGTGTTGTTTTGGTTGTGACTTGCCCCATAGGCTCATGATTTTAGAAGTTTAGTTCCCAGTTAGTGGAACTCATTGAAAAGTATTAGATGTGGCCTTGGTGTAGGAGGTGTGTCACTGGGGCTGATCTTTGAGGTTTGAAAAGCTTATTCCTGGCACTGTGTCCATCTTTTTGTCTGCTGCTTTTGTCAGGAGTAAAGCATACAGCTACTGCTCCATGCCTGTCTGCTTCCCGTCATTATAATCATTGACTAATCCTCTACAAGTGCAAAACAAGCCCTGGTTAGATGCTTTCTTTTGTAATCGCTGCCTTGGTCATGAACTCTCATCTCAGCAGTAGAATAGTAACTGAGACTGGCCATCTGGCTTTCTTATAATAAGAACTCAAGATAGCATCCTGCAGATTTGGGGATTAACCTTTGTCTGCATAATCACTTAGAAGTGTATTCAGAATCTTTGGTCCTAGATGATTCTGTATATCATCAGCCTGTCATTTAAAGATAACCATATAATATGTGCACTGTTTTAGGAGCCAGTGACCTTTGAGGATGTGGCTGTGAACTTCACCTCAGGAGAGTGGGCTTTGTTAGATTCCAGTCAAAAGAAGCTCTACAGAGATGTAATGAAGGAGACATTTTTGAACCTTATGTCCATAGGTAAAAAACACAACCTGTTCCCATTGCTTATTCAGAGAACAACTGTTTTCTGTTTATGTGTGCAGTGGTGTGATTTGAATTCTTGAATGGAATGTGGTGAATTTAGAGAGCATACCCATGTCATAAGATTGAGATTGTAATAATTTTTTTTAACCTTAAAGATGTTATAATGAATTCTTTGGGTTTACTTCTAGAAAAAGGACTAGAACAAAATATTGAAGAGCACTACAAAGATTTCTGCAGAAATCTGAGGTAATTATATTCAAAGAAAGCAATTTCTATGAAACATTTAAGATTGAGAGGTCAACTGAGAAGCTAGTAAATGGTCTAAATCTATCTAACTGCAACTTGAATCTAACTACAAATTCCTGGAACAAAGAGAGCATTGAATAATTGTTTGGTATTTGTGTAATCATCCATGTAGTCTATGAATATCACCAGCATGTGATGGAACTTTTAATTTCCGACAGAGCTTTTCTAGTGCTTTGCTACACAAAACCATCCCTTCATATTTAAAATTACTTAGTATGTTTCTAGATACTCTTCTGAGCATTTGCATGTAAGGGCTGTGTTTGTTCCCTTTCTTTTGCTGTGAGAGAAAGCAACTCAGATGGAGCTCGTTTTTACTTACACTTCCTTGTCACATTCCTATCAGAAAGGGAAGCAGGGCAGGAACACCAGCCTGGTAGTAACTGAGGCAGAGGTGATGGAGAAATGCTGTTTACCTGTGTATTCCTTGCCTTTACTCAACAACCTTCCTTCTTCAACCCTGTCCCACCTCTCTAGGGGATAACACTCATAGTAATCAGGAAATTTCTACACACACATATCTAAATGTCAGTCTGGTAGAACTATTTTCTCCTTTGCTATTCCTTCTTCTAAGATGTGAGAACTTGCTTGAGTCAAGTTGATGAAAACTAACCCAAAACACTTGACCTCTTGTCAATAATACACATAAATCCCACACTATTAATCCAGAACTTTTCATGGCTTGTTTCTCCCTAAATACTTTTTTTTTTTTTTTTTTTTGGTTTTGATTTTGGTTTTTCGAGACAGGGTTTCTCTGTGTGACGGGTCTGGCTGTCCTAGAACTAGTTCTGTAGACCAGACTGGCCTCGAACTCACAGATACCCACCTGCCCAAGTGCTGAGATTAAAGGTTAAAGGCTTGTGGCACCACCGCCCAGCAATCCCTAAATACTCTTAATCTCACAACATAAATTACAGAATAACATTAGAAAACATAGGTTTTTAATATAATGTTGTAGCTCCACTTTGTGGGGTGAGTTTGTGTTAACCTGTGTTCGTGTCTAAGATGGGGAATGTGGGTTGAGAAATTGTGGGTCAAGATACTAAGGAGAAGACAGAATAGAGTCTGGAGGGCAATCCAATTTATTCTTCGACATTCTTAAATACCCCAACCAAAAAGGGGAACATGGCAAAAGGCTTCTTGATCAAGATACAAGGAAGAAACAGACCTTCTTCCTTAATTCTCCAAACATTTGGTAACCACGCCGTAGACTACATTTCTCGTTATCTGGCCTTGAGGGTTAAAAATAACCACCCCTCAGAGCAAGTCTCTTGTTATTTAGATAAGACATCCACAACCAAGACCAAACATCCTACAGTAGCCACTCCTTAGACCTTTAGATCTTATGACTTTAACCTTGGAAGAGTAAGGATAGTTTTGAACTCTCTAACCTTAAGCCAAGATGAAGCAGAGCCATCTTTCTGGGCCCCACCAATATAAAATCTCATAGGAACTCCCCCAGTCGAACCTTTGAGATACCTTCCACCATCCCTAAAAATGTACAAGTCAGACTTCCATCATTTACATGATTGTCAGCATTCCTATCCTTTGAGCTCCTCGGACAGTTCATTATCCTTTGAGACTCAGACATGTTCTAAGTTTCCAGACATTTTCACAGTCCTCATAAAAATCACAGGGTCGGCTCTGTCGCTGTAATACCCCATGAACTTGGTAACCAACTTCTGGGTGAGAGTGCATTCCATTCCTGTGATAATCACCATAATCAAAGTCATCTTTGAGTACAGTGACATTTATTTTGGCTTATACTTCCGTGTTGCAGTCCAGCAAGGAAAGTTAGGCCAGGGGCTCAGAATAGGTAGGAACCTGGAGGCTGGAATTGAACTGGAAACCAAGGAGGAATGCTGCTTATTAGCTTGCTCTTCATGGATTACTGATGTACCCTTCTTATAAAACTCATACCCACCTGTCCAGGGACAGACCTCCCACGATGGGCTAAGCCCTCCCTCATGAATCAGGAATGAGAAAGTTCTCCCTAAGATTTCTTTACAGGCCAGTGTTTTTTGAGTAATTATCTCAATTGAAGGTCCCTATGCTTTGATGACCCTAGATGTATGCTGGTCATAAAATTCTGGTCTACTGAAAGAGTAAGAATTGTTCTTAACATCCAAGACTGTGATACAGTTCCTTCATAATTTGTTTGGTTGGTTGGTTTTTGCATTTTGGTTTTGGTTTTTTGAGACAGGGTTTCTCTTTGTAGCCCTAGCTATACTGGAATTAGCTCTGTAGGCCAGGTTGGCACTGAACTCACGGAGATCTGCCTGCCTCTCCCAAGTGTTGGGACTAAAGGCATGTACCACCATCCTGCTGCCTTCATAGTTCTTAATGAAGCATAGTCAAAAATCTTAATTCTGTCCATATGACCGGGTTTTACAATTGGTTACATTGTCCTCAACATTGGAGGGACCTCTCTAATAGTAAAACTATAATGAACCACATGAACTAGGTTCCCTTGTTTACAGTAATTGTCTTCTCATTTCTTGCAGAACTCAGTTGGTTGAGAAAGATGGGGGATATGAATATAATAGTCAGTGTGATGACAATCTTCAAACAATTTCAAAGAATATGGTTAATGAAGACATGCCTCCTGCAATAGGAAATGAAAGCAAGTTGCATGTAAGAAACATCATTGATCATTCATCCTCACTTGTGTATCTCAGAAACCAAACTAGAGGGAAACCATCACAATGTAAAGAAGCTTCTAGACATCAGAAACATTGGAAAAATGTCAGTCACTCTGAATCACTTCAGGTACATGAAACTTTTCCTAGAGAGAAATCTTATAAGAATCAGCAATGTAGGGAAGGCTCTAGGAGCCTCTCTTCTAATCAGCCTCACAAGAGAACACAATGTGGAGATAAGCTCAATGGGAAAATATTTAACAGACATACATATAGCTCAAAAGATGATGGAATCCATACAGAAGTGAAATCATTTGTTCATAACCACAATGAAGAAGCCTTCAATGATTCCAGTGACCTAATCATCCCTGAAAAAAGTCATATTGGAGAGAAAAAATACATTTGTAAGCAATGTGGGAAAACATTTAAATATGCTTCCTGTTTTGAGAAACATAAAATAACTCACACTGGAGAGAAACCTTATGCATGTAAGCACTGTGGAAAAACCTTCACCAGTTCTAGTTGGTGCAACACTCATGAGAGGGGTCATAATGGAGAAAAGCCTTACATGTGTAAGCACTGTGGCAAAACCTTCAGAAGTTCCAGTTATTGTAACATTCATGAAAGAATTCACACTGGAGAGAAACCTTATGCGTGTAAGCACTGTGGGAAAACCTTTGCCATTTTGAGGTCTCGTAACAGTCATGAGAAAAATCACACTGGAGAGAAGATGCATGCATGTAAGTGTTGTGGAAAAAACTTCAACAGTCCCACTTCTTGTAGCATTCATGAAAGAATTCACACTGGAGAGAAACCTTATACATGTAAGCACTGTGGCAAAACCTTTGCCAGTTTGACTGGGTGTATCACTCATGAAAGAAATCACACTGGAGAGAAGCCTTACACATGTAAGCATTGTGGGAAAGCCTTCAACAATTCTAGTTATCGTAATGTGCATGAAAGAATTCATACTGGAGAGAAACCTTATGCATGCAAGCACTGTGGCAAAACCTTTGTCATTTTGGGTTCTCTTATCACTCATGAAAGAAGTCACACTGGAGAGAAGCCTTTCACATGTCAGCATTGTGGAAAATCCTTCTCACAAGCCAGTTATCGGAACATTCATGAAAGAATTCACACTGGAGAGCAACCTTATGAATGTAAGTACTGTGGCAAAACTTTTGCCATTTCGAGTTCTCGTAATACTCATGAGAAAATTCACACCGGAGAGAAGCCTTATACATGTAAGCATTGTGGAAAAGCCTTCATCAGTTCTATTTGGTGTAATGCTCATGAAAGGAGTCACACTGGAGAGAAACCATATGCATGTAAGCACTGTGGGAAAATGTTTGCTATTTTGAGTTCACGTAATACTCATGAAAAACTTCACACTGGAGAGAAGCCGTATACATGTAAGCATTGTGGCAAAGCCTTCACGAGTTCTGGTTATCGTAACAAGCATGAAAGGGGTCACACTGGAGAGAAGCCTTAAACATGTTAACATTGTAGTGAAACCTTTGCCATTTCAGTTGGTGTGACACTCATGAAAGAATTTACACTGGAGAGAAGCCTTATGCATGTAAAATTTGTGGAAAATCCTTCATCAGTTCCTCTGACTGTAATACTCACGAAAGAATTCAGACTGGAGAGAAAGTCTTTCCATGTAATGTGTGTTGAAACTGGTCCTTCAGCCTTCTGATCATACCAGGCAAAAAAGAATTCACTCAAGAATGAAGACTTATGCACTTATGAAAAAGTTTTTTCTTGCTCTAGTTATTTTGACTTTCGTAAGAGGTGTCACTTTGAACAGTTGTTTTATATTTGTAAGTATGATGGAAAGCTCTTCTTGGTAATTAGATTTATGTGACTAGGCATTTTCTGGCTGTCATTTGTGTAGGCTGTCCCATGTGTCCCCCCCCCCAAAGTTTTACAGTTTCTCTCAGTCTGTTTTATTTGTGTTTATATATGCCCTTGCATATATGTGCCTGGGGTCAGAAGGGGGTGTGGGACGCCCCAGGAACTGGAGTTAGAAGCAGTTGTAAGCTGAGTGAGCTCAGTATTAGGATTCAAACTGCGGTACTCTGGAGGAGCAGTATGTGCTTTCAGCCCTTACACAATCTCATCAGCAGCTACATTCATGGAACTTCTGCAGTTTGTATTTCTCAATGTTCTTTAAGTAAAGAATTGGAGTTTTCTTTTTCAGAGTTTACTGATGCTTTTATTCACTTTGACAATTTCAGGTATATTTTAGTCCTCAGTAAGGAAATAGTTACACAAATAATTGATCATATCTGCAGCCCCATAAGTTTTTTAGACCCACAGGGGAATTGAGGCAGAAAAAATAAGAAACTTCAGGAGGCTCTAGGACTGAACATATTAAGGGAAGTGGCAGCTGAGAGAATGGGAGATTTAATCTACCTGAGCTTCATTCACCCAAGGGAGCACTCTTATAAAATCCCAGTTTTACGTCTTGGAGATGGATTCTAAAAAGCCCTCCCTCTTTTTTTCCACCTATGTGTCAATTCACAGTCAAGATATGACATACATTTCAGGCTACTCTGTATCTACCTCTTGTGTATGTACAAGTCCTTGTAAAGATACAAAATAAATGTCCCTGCCCTGCAAACTTAGGTCACCTCACCTGTAGCAATGCCTTAACGCAAGTGTAGATAATATGGTCCCTCTTGTGAATATTATGGTGTTGGGATAACTATATTTGCAGAAGAAGAATAGAAGGCATGTTGAGCTCCCAGAGTTAAACTCGGGTGTTTCTTCCTCATCACTACAGAAGTACATTGGTGTCAGTGTACTAGTGAGGCTTGTGAATGTGTTTCCCCTGTGAATGTAGACATTCTTCCTATTTGGGGTAAAGACATTTATCTTTAAGCCTTGCTTTTTATAACTCTTGAATCATTTGTTGAATGTTGCTGTCATGTAATTTCACTTTTTTGTGCATTCAGTAATTGCTGTTATTTAAATTTTCCTTTTGTGAAATAGCTGGTTGAATAGGTAATGGTGGATGAAACCTTTTGTCCCAGCACTCTGGAGGCAGAGATAGGAGATATGAGCTCTAAGTTAGCCGGGTGTACATTGTGTGTTTAGTCCAGTCAGTGCTCCATAATAGAGACTCTGACTCAGAAAACAAAACACACATCCAAAGAAGGAAATGGATAGGTTTAAGTATTAGGTGTGGATTAGTCCCATTCCAAACTCATATTTTTGCATAGCAGGCACTCCTTCTCATCCTGTGTTTGGAGAGAACTCAAGATTCCTTCTCCCCAACTGTGTTGGTTTTGGTTGTAGGATATCCAATCAGGAATATCCCTACCTTATGTGTATTTCAATAATCAGGGATGCTGTTACTTTGATCGAATGTCCACTGAGGTGAATGGATGTGTGGGAAGCCTCACCATTGCCACTGGGTTTGAATTCATTGTAGATGCTGAGACGCCTGGTGTTGGGCCCATTCAACATTCACTTGTACTGATTTTACACCCATAAGGAGGACAACTTTATCCACAAGAAGCAGGAGAGTAAGTGTGTCCAGGGCTCCCAGAATCCTGAGCTATTATTCATGACATGCTTTGGCATTCCCCTGGCACTGTGCAGACAGGAGTGCTGTACAGTAATGCACCGGCTTCATCCTCCCCAGAGCACTGGAATTGTGTGCAAAGCAAGCAGCTGTGCACAAGGCCTCCAGACCTGTTCTGTCCCTGGGAAACTTACTTTGTCCCAGGCCACTTTCTTCCTTTGGTGTAAAGGAACCTGGAACCTACACCTCTTCAGAACTTGGAGAGCTGCCAGGTCTGCGACAGAGTTCAGGCTGTCATGTGAAGAAGGGTCATGGGTGGTGTGCTCTTACAGTAGATTCCCTTAGACCTATATCTGTACTGCTTTAGGGTGTTCTTGTCATCACTCTTTGATTTTATCTTTTTCTTAGTAATGAACCCTAAGCCATGCCTAACAAAGTAAACACGGGCCTTGGTATTAGGCTACATTCCCCAAGCAAAACTCCTCATTGGGTGTGTGTTGTATTAAAACAGGGTGTTTTTTAAAATGATGATATGGAGCTGGGCGGTGATGGCGAACACCTTTAATCCCAGCGCTCAGGAGACAGAGGCAGGCAGATCTCTGTGAGTTCGAGGCCAGCCTGGTCTACAAGAGCTAGTTCCAGGACATCCTCCAAAGCCACAAAGAAACCCTGTCTCAAAATACAAAACAAAACAAAACAAAACAAAATAAAAATCATTCACCTGAGATTTTGACACCCTTGGAAATGAGTGTGTTCTCAGATGAAAGAGAAAACAGATTTGTTGTTGTTGTTGTTGTTTTGTTTTTGTTCTTTTGCACTAAACATTTCTGAAGCAAAGGGTTTAGGTTTAGATTATTGTTTGTTTTGCTCTGGGCTTCTCCAAGTAGAGGAAATTGCATACAGAGTACTTAATCAGTCATTAATCATTTTCCAGGATGATCTTCTTTTACGGCAAAAAAATTGTATTTTCATTTTGTTAGATTTTAGGATACAGGACACAGAAGGCTGCAAAGAGACCATAGTCTGACCACAGCAGACAACACTGGTCATTAACACATATAGCAAGTGGCCACAAATTTCCTGCTGTGCAGTGGGAGAATTGAGCCCACCACCTTTATAGGCCTGGCTTGGGGATGAGGAAGTTGGATCAGCTTCCTGTACTAAGACCTGCTATGCAGTCCCTCCTTTTTGAAATCATTTTCCAAAAGGAAAAAGACTGTCTTGGGAAACAGGCTTTCTCAGCAGATTTTTCTCTCTGACCAATACTGGTTGAGATTTTCATACCTTCCTCCATCCCTCCAGATGGGGTTTAAATGGTCAACACGCCAGCTGTGATAATCTTTTTCATTACACTTTGGAATGCCCCAGGAGGGAAGTTGCTTAGCTAAAAGGATGGTCATTTAAAACATGACTAAGGTTAGTCAAAACAGTCCCTCTCATATGAAGAACATCTATAGAGACCAAGTTTGATATGATCGTGAATAAAATATATGTGAATTTTACTGTTTGCTTCTGTTAAGTGGACAGTGTGAATAAGGGGTGGAAAAGATGTCTCAGTGCTTAAGAGCACAGACTTCTCTTTCCAAGGCTGACAGCATGCATATTGTATCTCTAGGGGATATAATACCATCTTCTGGCTTCCCAGTGCACCAATCACCTATGTGTATGCAAGAGAAACATCCATACTCAACAGATGAAATGAATAATTTTTTTTTTTTTTTTTGGTTTTTTGAAACAGGGTTTCTCTGTAGCTTTGGAGCCTGTCCTGGCACTCGCTCTGGAGACCAGGCTGGCCTCGAACTCACAGAGATCCTCCTGCCTCTGCCTCCCGAGTGCTGAGACTAAAGGAAATAAATAAATCTTAATGTGTGTGGAAGTGAATTTATTACTCTGGAAACTATCATGGTCCTGAAGGGATTATGTCAAAGCCCTGGGAACAATAGAAGGCATGATGTGGTCCTTTGGTCTGTCTTTATCATCACTGGAGAATGAATATTGCTGGTCTCTTTCTTAGCAGTCTGGATGCTTGGGAATATTTCTTGTAGTAAATGGAGACTTTGTTCATGTCCTTGGGCAACAAAAACCTTTTCTGAAGTTCTAGGGTTGCTTTTCATAACTGAATCCTTAGTGTGACTTTATATTCATATTATTTTGTCCATCGAGGAACTGTGTATTCTTGTTGGTGTTTTAACTTTCTTGGCAGAAATGGATACAATGAAATATCAGGTGTGAGAGAGTCATGGGCTGTTACCTCACCCCTGATCTTTGTCTTTCTCTCTCATGCTCCATCTTTTTTAGGGCTTTTATTGCTGAAATAATACACCATGACCAAAAAGTTGAGGAGGAAAGGGTTTATCTAGCTTACATTTCCACATTGCTCTTCATCACTGAAGGAAGTCACGACAGACATTCAAACAGGGTAGGATCTTGGAGCAGGAACTGATGCAGAGGCCATGGAGGAGTACTGCTTACTGGTTTTCTTTCCCTGGCTTGCCCAGCCTGCTTTCTTATAGAACCAAGGACCACTTTCTCAGGGATGGCATAACCCACTATGGATTGTGTCCTGCCCCATTGATCACTAATAGAGAAGATGCTGGATCTCATGGAGGCATTTCCTCAACTGAGGCTCCATCTCTGATAACTCTAGCTTGTGTCAGGTTGGCACAATAGCAGCCAGTAAAACTGACCCCTTATCATCTTGACACTCAAACACTTCATTATTAGGTCATAACCATTCCTTTCTTATTCATCTCAGAGATCTCACATTAAAATCATAAAAAGTTTTAAAAGTTTCACAGTCTTAAATTCAAACTCATTAAAATTTCAGTGCCTTTACAATGTCCAATCTTTTTATTTATTTATTTTTTGGTTTTTTGAGACAGGGTTTCACTGTGGTTTTGGCGCTCTCTCTGTAGACCAGGCTGGCCTCGAACTCACAGAGACCCACCTGCTTCTGCCTCCTAAGTGCTGGGACTAAAGGCGTGCACTACCAACACCCGGCTACAATGTCCAATCTTAATCCAGGCCTGAATTGGCAAAAGACACAGTTTGCTGCTCCCAGTCTTCTTGGCCTGCCGGGTACGCTATCAACCAGCATCAGCTTGGCCCATCCTGACTTGAGTTGGTGGAGAACACAGATGGCTTCCCCCAGACTTCTTGGTCCGTTGGGCACAATTAACCAGGAAAATGCCTGCCGCCTCTTGCTGGGCACCCTCATACCAAGTGCTGACTGAGGTTCCTAGGGCTGGGCATGGGAGAGAGGAAAGGCAACAGCTCTGAGCCATGCTTTGTGGCTTGGACACAGGACTCAACCAATTGCCACCTATGACCCTACTTAGAACCCCGGGGTTGGGTGATGGGGCACCATTGTAAGAGTACAGGGTAGGCAGGTGGAGGACAGGGTAAGATGGAATGGATCATGAGTTGGGAAGAGGTGGATCTGGAGAAGTAGAGTGGTTGGGGAATGGGCTGTCATGAATGACCTGGTGATGTCTGGACAAGGGTCAGGTTTTGGTCTGGCGCCCTCAAACAGCTGAAGGGATATGTGCTGATATCTGTGGCTCCTATCACTGCTGCTGGGGTCTGCAGTGTCCTGTGTCTGGGGTCCTGTTGGTATCTGAGGGCCATGCTACTGCAAGGGCTACTTGGGAACATAGTGACATACTGGCCTAG